TATCAATAAATTTATTAGTATTCTATTTATAGTATTCTATTATTAGTATTATATTTATAGTATTCTATTTATAGTATTCTATTATTTCTATTATATTNTAGAATAAATTGTTTATTTGTAAATTTGTTATTAATAATTTCTTTAATAATATTTTTTTATCAATAAATTTATTAGTATTCTATTTATATTATATATTTCATGGTTTTATTAAAAGCACCTTAATATGGATCAATAATTTTACGCGTTATCGAAATTTCGTCTTCAGAATTTAATTAAAAAATATATACTCACGCGAAACCAAAGTATTCGCACATATTTTGTCCAATAAGATTGGCCGTGGATTGATTTTTATGAATCTTGGGACGATGGCAAACTGGTTGCCATCTCTGTTTAATGAATCTGGTCAATATTCCCTCTTTGTTCAAAAATGGCCGTCCATTGGCATCCAAGTACACATTGTGGCCATCGGTGAACGCGACTAAAAAAGGAATGGAAATCAAATCGAATCTTTGATTATCGTGAGAAATTGTCGATTAATCGCAAAACGACGACTCACAGCAATCGAGCTCGTCCTCTTTAAACTCGCAATCGAATTTTCCATCGCATTTTTTCGACATCGAAACGCAGGTTTTGCTCGTTGTGCAGAAAAATTCGTTCTTACCGCAAATTTCTGCGAGATAAATAAAAATTACCCGTATTACATTGTATCCTACTATTGGAAAATATATGGGAAAGTACTTACCACAGTCTCGTTCATCCGTCAGATCATCGCAATCTGCGTAACCATCGCAGATGGCGGTCGGTCTTAAGTTCTGCAAATAATCTTTGCAGGTACAATTCAACTCGTCCGTACTGTCCTCGCAATCCACTACTCTGTCGCATCTTTTCTCGATCGTGATACTTTGAAGCAATCTATGAATTGAATCAGGATTTTAATTTTTCCATGAAAATTGGAAAAGACTCGTCATTATTTGCCTGATCGATTTATTATTTAATATATTAATTTTAAATTGAAATACCTTGAACAAGTGAATATAGTAGGAAAACGCATCGACGTTATCGAGGAGGCATTTTCAATATAATTAGAATTAGAAGTTGTAGAAGTCGTGCTGGCATCGTCATCGAATCTCAAGTTAGAAGTGGTCCAAGTCGTGTCTTCCAATCCCAATTCGTTGTTCGTTTGATCCTCGAATCTATCTTCTAAAGGCTTGTTGCTCGTATCATCGAACGATGGAAAGGCTGAAAGGACGAATCTTGTCACGATATAATTAACTTTAGAATTATTGCATCGATTTCTATATACCAGAGGTGGAGATTTC